AAACTGAACGGACCAATATTCAAAAGTTAAAACTCCCGGGGAGGAGGGGGCTTCCCGGGGGGAAGGAGTTCAAATTTTGATCTTTCGGCTGACTTTTTCGTTTTAATGTTCCTTATAGACCTTTGCTAAAACAAATTTTTTTGTCATTGTGAATAAACCCCTTGGGTTTTTTTTTTCCAATTTTCTTGCAACAATTTTTCACCTAAGGCAAGCTTACAAAAAGTGGAAAGAAGCTGAAGAAACCTCCTGGAGATTACCTCCAAGACGTCAGTCTCAACCATACAAACGAGTCTGGGAAAATCCTTAAATGAAAAACTCGAAAGAAACAAATATCGAAAGACTTCAAATTTGATTTCATTTTACATGTGTGATATGAACTAGTTTGAACATAATGTGTTCGTGATTAATAATTTTTGACATAAGACGAACAAAATTTATGAGGGCTGTGAATAAAGCTCTGAAAATTGCAAATCTAAATTACGCCTCGGTCTGAATATTTCAATAAAGTTGAATGAAATATTAATAGACTAATCTGTTGTATTTTTCCATCTTCAGGGGCCGTTTTAAGCGTCTTTTTACGAAATGAAAATCATGAATGTAGTTTTCTCAATATGATCAGTGCCGAACTCAGCGACCAAAGGAATTCGAAGCATGCAGCTCACTGTGGTTCAAAACTAAGCCGAGCGCTGATTGGTAAATTTGAAACGGCCTGCATGCTTTTTACTAGAAACTTTAAATTGTAATCTTACTTATTACATGTTAAGCCGTTAACTATATAACTTTGGATGAAAATTAAAAATGCAGGAGTCGCCCTGTTGGTTTTTACTGCGTTAGTCCTGAATCTAAGTCGATTAATTGCTGTATTTTGATAACCGAGCCGTCGAGCCTCCAACCTTTAAAATTTATGTCAAAATGCACTTAAAACCCATTACAAACTTAGATCAAAAGTTGACGGCGACAAAAATTCAAGATGGGGGCGACGCAACCATACTTCGGGGCGATGGAAGTTGGGGCGACCGAACAAGCCTATTGCCTTGGTAGGCGATAAATCGCTTACACAGCCGATGCTTACACAGGTGATGGACGGTCTTGAGCACAGTAACCTTCGCACAGTAACCTTCGCTCCAGAGAAGTTAGTGATACGACTAAGTCGCTTTGTTTCCCTCTACCACTCTGACAGGGAACTCTCTTTCAGGTGTTGCACTCTGCGCTTGTAGTAGTTCGATTGACATTTCTTGCGTACATGAATCCAAGAGCGAAACAGAATGAACTGGTTTTTGGGCTGAGATCCGTACTTCTATTGCTTACATTTAGGTTAAAAAATTAAACTTCGAGCCCACAGAGATGACTGAACATTAAAAAGAGGGCTGTTGTCTTGATAGCTAAAGTTAACGAAATATGTTATATGAAACGTTATTGCAGTGCACTGTCCCAAATCACATTTTAAAATCCGATTGACTCGATTAGAAGAAAAAAATGTGCATTCATTAGAACAACGAGTGGTTCAGTCTGGTTTAACCAAAATCATTGCAATACAGATGTTTTCCTTTTTTTCCACTAACCCAAGTAAAGTGCGTCAACCAACCAAACTGGCCAGTTTTTGAAAGGAATCACGGCATAATGCGGCCTAAAGGGTATGTTGGGAACGTGTTATAACCACAAACGTACAACAACCAGAGATTGTCTAGAACAGATCTTGTAAGAATTCAATTTTATTCAGGACACTAAATCTTCAACAACACGTCCGTATTTAGGACGTATTTCTCGTTTATCTATGAAAAGAATTACAGCAGTAGGTTATTTTCATACAGCTTTTTCTGTGTGTGTATCTATAAACACATTTTAAAAATCTCTCCGCTTTCTTGATCCTTTCCAAACTGCAGTGGTGATGTTTCATGATATAAATAGCGCGGCAAGCAAAAAGGTTGTCCATAATGTTAATGTCATAGTTTTACGAAGGGGGATATTTGATGAATTTTTAAGTCACGATAGCAGGGTCTTCCTCAGCCAGGCTTAGAGATGTTTGTTCTGCTTGTTTTCTTTCCTTTCTTAGTTTCCTTTTTCTCTTCTTGACCTGAGATCTTTCCCTGTAAGAAACAAGTGTCAGATTTTTTATGATCTATATATTTCAACATAAAAGCTATCTGCTGCGATTTACTACAGCTTGTGCAAACTGCCTCGAAGTCTCAAATAGCTGAATCTTTTCAGCCAGTCTTTCCCATATCAGTTGATTTTTTTTTCTTATTTTACTTAGAGTGCTACAACGTATGTCAAGTTAAGATGAAGTTCGTAGCATTGTATATATCTCTGTCAGACTGAAATAATCACCTAATTCTGATGTGCCGTGCATTAGTTTCTGCCTAAAAGCTGTCTGGTAATCGTCTCTCAAAGTTTCAAAGTTTTCGAATTCTATTCCTTTTACATTTACATTTTGCAGATTGGCTTCTTAATTTTTTTTGTTTAATGGTTAATGATAATAGTCAAGGAAACTTTCACATACCCATGGCTGGGTATTTTCCTGTAATCCAGAATAGCAGGGTCCTCTTCAGCCACACTTTTTAATGATTCTCTCCTTTTTCCTTTTCTTTGTTTCTTCTTTCCTTTAGACCTCTTCCTGTGGAAAATGATTTCCATATTCCTCTGAGCCTTATTTTTGTCTGAGAATCTACCTATGATCTCTAATCAACTGCAGCTTGAAGAAGTATACGAACTTTGAGGTTTAGCGGCATACTTACATTTTTTGTTTTATGCCACTGTCAATAGTTGTAGAAATTGCTATGAGGGAAATGAACATTCCTCTGTATGGAATGATTATACATGTGCTGCTTGCTATATACTAACTAGATCAATTAATTTAGTTGTATCCCTTCCCCTTGATTGAATCGCACTTACCTTTCACTGGACATGATCTTAAAGGCTTCGACTTCAGGATCTTCTTGCGCCAAACTTAATCGTAACGATTTGATTTGATCTGAACTAAAATCTTCCACAACAGCCGACTCCATGTGTCTCTCTGCTAAGAGAAGCTCTTCCCAAGTAAGGCGGAGCACCTTTATCTCCTTAGCAACTTCTTTGTTGTCCTCACTCCTCCCTTGGACTTCTGCAGTTTCCATTTCTTTCATTTCCGTATCTTGAGAAACTTTCTCGGTAAGATTTTCAACAGAGTGAACTTGTTCGGTAGTGGGTTGAGTCTCTGTTTCATATTCTGTATCGACCTGATCGGACCACTGGAGATTTCTCGCCACCTCAAACACAGTGATATCCTCCAGGGGAATCTCCCTTGAGACAATATCAGCCCAAGATTCTCCTTCGGTGACGTCC